GGCTAAAAATAGGCGGTTATCTGAGCATAGTTGTAATAGGCGATCACCGTTATCTGTACGTTCAGCTGGGATTCCGAAAGTGCCACCTAAGTGCCTTTCTGCCTCACTCAGTCTACCCACCTGTGCGTTGAGGTCACCTGCAACAACCACTACGTCCGAACGTTTGGCTTTCGAGAGGAGGTTAGACAGTTTATGGTAGAACTCGTCCTTCACTTCATCCGAACTACAGTCAGTGGGTGCGTAAGCAGAGATTACAAAGAGACAACGGCGAGTCTCACTATTCCTTTTAGTTCTCACTGTGCCGTTCAGCCTCATAGCGCAGAGGCGACTATCAACTGGGATCCAGTCTAGTAGTGAGTTTTCTGCCCTGGTGCTTAATGCTATACCTACACCTGCAAGACCACGAGAGCTAGCTATCGAATCTCCAGAAACTCGAAGGGTGAATTTTGCAGATTCACCAGATTGGTCAGGAGAGGTCAGGTGAATAACCACACTTGGGTCCTGTATGCGTGTCTCACAAACACAGCACACATCCATGCCTCGAGTTGCTAGAGTCTTTGCCAACGAAGCCTGTTGGCCAATTTGACGGAGGGTGCGGACATTGAAGGCTCCAATATGTAATTTGGAGCGTGGTTTAAGGAGACCAGGGACACTGTTCTGTGGACTCAGATCGTTGTCGAAGGCTGCAGAGGTAGGAGAAATTGAAGATGATGCAGCATCATTAATTAAGAGACGTGAAGGAAGATTAGAAGGTAATGATGGAGGAGGAGGATAGCAGTCAGAAGAAACTTGGGTGCTGACAGAGTTGTGAGGGCGGTTGACACTTCCCGGCTGCCCACACCGTGGAAGGCTATTTCTTCTTAAGGTACCTGAAAGAGATTTGTGTGACCGCAGAGCCCATCGGACATCTGCTTGAGGCCTGTCACACCCAGCCTTTTGAGTATGATTATTTTGAATTTTTGTATTTTTGGGGCCGGATGAGCGAAAGGAAACGACAAGTGAACCAACACCGCCGGCCCGGCAGACCGTGGGGCGTGGTGGAGTGTGTTATTTTTGGGGCCGACCTTTTCTAACCCCCCCCCTCCACTGAGAAGGCAGCATCAGCTTGGCACTGCTGGTCATCCAAGGGAAACACCTTACTGCTGTCACACCCCATCCAGCTAGCAGCAGTACGACTTCGCCCTCAGACCCCCATCATAGTATAGCAATTTACACTATGACGGTAACTGCTTTTCGTCTAACCACTACCCAACAGACCTTTCTGGTATGGTAGGACCTCGAGGGAACAAGCGTTCCACCAGCATAGCTCGTTGGGTCATTGTGATATGCAAGCCCGACCACCACGTCAAGGTAGCAGCTATCGGTCGGGATTGGATTGGGCATGCACTGAGGAGACCATTCGAGGACATCACGCGACAAGCCACGCACTCGAGTGGAACCAATGTGATGCTCTTCCTCTCTAATTTAGTTAGGTTTCGATTGAGATGAGAAGTCATGACCAGGCAGCCACTGTGAAGACGGTCAAGTGGGAGTGAAGCATTACGAAATCATATGGTAGTCGGGCAAAATTCTTGGTGATTGAAGATGAAATAAAAATCTGGTCAGCAGAGGGACCCCGTAGCTCAGTTGATAGAGCACCAGGCCGGTAAGCCGGAGACCGCTGGTTCGAATCCGGCAACGGTAAGAATTTCCATTTTACCTTCAATCATCACCCAGTTTAAATACTAGTTTAGTAAACCACAACCATCTCTGACAGTTAAATGATATACATTTTACTTAAAAATCCATTACAGGCATCCATTGTATCTCAACAGTCAACATCACTCAAAGTACTGCACAGCAGTCCGGTCTGTTCTACTGTATGGCTGTGAAACATGACCATTGGAAGTGGAAGACATAAAAGTGTTTGACCACCGTTGCCCTCGTAGTATAGGCCGTCGTATTCTGTGGTGTCACCACGTGAGTAATGCAGAAATAAGTGTGTAGAGATTTACGGAGTAGAGGTAAATCAGTTGATGAGGTTATGAACCCTGATCGATTGAGATGGTTGGGACATGTACTACGTATGCCTAGTCACCGATTGCCTCGTCACACAATGTTGACTGAAGTTGGTCCAGGCTGGAAAAGGTGGGAAGGAGGTGACCAGACTAAAACATGGCACCAATGTATGAAGTCTCTGACTGTTGGTTTGAGCCATGTAGGGCGATGCAGACTAGGTGGTTGGGGTGTGCGAAACAAGAGGAACCAGTGGATGGAGAATCTAGGTGATATACCTCACAACTGATGTGAGTGGCTCAGATGTATACACATATTATCCTCATCTTAACACAATAACGAGTCTCACCGTTTTGTTATTCTTCCTTTCTCTCCTTTCATACTTTATATTTCTTTTGACTGCATTCTCTTATCTTCATCCTTCACGTCACTACATTTCTACTTGATGTAGTGATATGAGGTGTGGCAACTCGGACCTTCATGCAGTAATGCCTGGTCCTATGTTGATATTGATTGATTGATTCACTCAAAGTAATTTACTTGAACACATGTCTATGGTTATTTCCTTATCCCACTTTTCTTACCGTTCAAGAGCAGAGAGGGAATATGGGCTTTCAAGGTAATCAATGATGACTGAAATCTTGGAAAGTTTATTAATACCATTGACTTCTATTGTACATATGACTGTTTTATTTTCATGAATCATAAATAATTCATAACCCGATGCAAAGTGGCATATATGACAATACAAACTGCGTCGATTTATTTGGGTTAATTAGAGTATTGGTTAACGCAGAGAACACAGAGGTGATGAAGATATCCAACCAACGCCACCACCACCACCAACAACAACAACAAGCTCCAATCACCATCAACGAGAGAAACTTAAAGGAAGTAGCCTCTCCCACCTATCTAGGCAGGGCAGCATCGTTTCAACCACAAGCAGTGGCACAGAAGAGCACGTCAAAGCCACGATCAGAAAGACAGCAAGACAGGAGGACATTAACCTGAAACCAGTGTGGAAATCGAATGCACTCAGCATAAAGCGTCAACAACATTCGGATTTTCAACACCAACGTCAAGTCAGTGCTGATACATCGTTCAGAAACTCGGCGCGCCACGAAAAGCATTTCGAATAAACTATAGATATCCATCAACAACTGCCACCTACGCTGGCTCGTTACTGAAGCTCAGATGGTCAGAATGATAAGAATAAGCAACAAGGAACTCTGGCTGGCTGGCAACGAACCAACCAACCAGGAACCTATCGCTCAACAAATATGAAGCAGAAGGAAGTGGAGATGAATTGAATTGGGCATACACTGAGAACGCCGACTGGGAACATCACGTGCCAGGCCAGGCACTCGAGTGGAACACAGATGGGAAACGGCGAGTTGGGCGTCCCAGTTGAGGGTGACATGGAGGAGATTGTGTGAGGAAGAAATGAGAGCTTCTGGGCAGTGGTCGATCCAGGTTGAAAAGATTGCCGAGAACAGAGTACAATGGAGAAATGCTACTGTAGGTGTATGTTCCATTAGGAACCCAAGAGATAAATAATAATAAGAATAGGGTATTGGTTACATAAGAAGGGAATTTTCCGTCTCGAAGAGCACGCAACATGAGTATAAAAACATTATTGTGGAAAATTAAGTATGCGAAATTAATTTCGGGGAAATTCTGAGGAAGCGAGATCGATTTTGAGGAACCATGCAATTTGTCAGAAAATGGGATTAATTATTACGTTTCCCCAGATTGTTTTCATCGTTTACGTCTGTACTCCACTGAAATCTGATCTAAAGGGAAAATCAAGTGAATGAGTATACAGAAAGTTAATAATTTGTAGACATATACTTTATTGATGGATAGTGGCTAGTAGTTGGGATCGAGAACGCTGGACGCACCTGCCTCCCAGTGAGTGTTGTCCCGACCCCGAGACGGACTCGGGACCGATCTCTCCAAACGCCAGAACGTTATCTAACAGACCACCGAATGAAAATAGTCACTTTCTGTTTATTTTTTAAAATTATTATCTGTCCTTTAGATCCCTAGTGGAACATAGGGCTTCAGTAACACGTCGCCATTTCACTCTCTTCTCTCCAATCTTTTCAACCTGGCTTCATCACTGCCCACAACCTTTTATTTCTTCCTCACACCATCTCCATATCACCCTCAAATGGGACGCCCAACTCGTCATTTCCCATGGAGGTCCCACTGGACGGCATTTGCCTGGCCTGACGCGTGATGCCCACAAACTGTCTCCTCAGTGTATGCCCTGTCCAGGCCATCTCCACTTTCTTCTTCTGCATATTTGTTGGGCGATAGGCTCCTGGTTGGCTGGTTCGTTGCCAGCCACCCACAGTTCCTTGCTGCTTATTCCTATTATTCTGGCCATCTGATCTGATCTGATCTTATCCTCAGTGTCAGGATGGAGTGAGTGAGCGTAGGCGGCAGCTGTTGATGTGATGTATGTCTGCAGTTTGTTGAAAATACTTTTGATAAAGCACCAAGTCTCTCAACCATCACATTGTTGAAGCACTGTCTTACTTGACTAACTGACATTAGTATTGAAATCCGGATGTTGTTCATGCTTTATGCTAAGTGGAGTGAGGTGGAGTGCAGTAGATCTCCACACTGATTATTTCAGATTAATGCAGGAAGACCTGTCCTGCTATCTTTCCGATCCTGGCTGGCTTTGATATCCTCATCTGTGCCGCTGTCATCACCTGCAGTTGAAACGATGTTGCCGAGGTATGTAGGTAGGTGAAAGAGACAACTTCGTTTACATTTCTCTCGTTGATGGTGATTGTTGTTGGTGGTTGGGTATCTTCATCACCTCTGTCTTCTCTACGTTCACCTGAAGGAAGTCCGATCTTTGTTGCCCTGCCTCTACTGCTAACTTGTTAGTTTTCGCCTGTAAATCTTCGAGCTTACTGTTTGACGGGATGATATAAACAACAACACTTATATACACTTTATTATTACTATTTAAGTGAATACTGACTTACTCGTAATACACTCACAGCTAATTTCATCATAGCTGGTATATCAATATCTCGTATTCCCGTGATATTTGGAGCCATATCACTTAGAACAACATCTACGCATGGAAGGAATTTCCGTCCATCATGAAGTTGTCGGTTATTATTATCATTATTATGGCTTTTGTCCAAATGGCTTACAGCTGATTGATTGATCAAATTTATGCATTCTGACCAATTGTTTAAATCAACACCTGAATAAGAGATAACACCAGGTAATGGTGCAAAATCTAACAAGTCAAACGCAATAACTACACCAGACTGTTTACTATGATCATTAACACTAGTACCACGATTAGGATTGATAAAAGATGAAGCAACTTGACACCAAGATCCTGGTGCAGCACCACAATCAACTACAATATCACCAGGTTTAAATAGTCCATTATGAATTTTATCATTCAACTGTAAGAGTTTGAAAGCACTACGACATCTGTAGCTTTCAATTCGTGAACGTTGAACAAATGGATCAGAACGCTGACGTGCAAGCCATCTCTGTTACAGAGGGAGAAAAAAAACTTTTTTAAACTAAAATGTAAGAAAATTTTTATAAATTCATAAATAAATCTTTTATAAAAACGGTGTAAATTTAGCATTGAAGTGAAGACAGGAGTAAGACAAGGTTGCCGCCTACTATCACCCATCATCTTCCTGATTCTGGTCGACACGACTGGATCATGCAAAAAGCCGTGAGGAGCGAGAAGAGGGGGATACGCTAGCTGGACCGGGAGAAAGATCCTAGAAGATTTGGATCTCGCCGATGACTTACGTCTAATGTCACACAAACTTGAAGATGTACAGGAAAATCCAACGAGTTCACAGAAGAGGCAGCGAAGACAGGACTTCTAGTGAACGTAGAGAACACAGAGGTGATGAAGATATCCAACCAACACCACAAGCTCCAACGACCACCAATGGCAGGAACTAAAGGAAGTAGCCTCTCCCACCTATCTAGGCAGGGCAGCATCGTTTCAACTACAGGTAGCACAGGCAAAGAAGAGCACGTCAAAGCCACGATCAGAAAGACAGCAAGACAGGAGGACATTAACCTGAAACCAGTGTGGAAATCGAATGCACTCAGCATAAAGCGTCAACAACATTCGGATTTTCAACACCAACGTCAAGTCAGTGCTGATACATCGTTCAGAAACTCGGCGCGCCACGAAAAGCATTTCGAATAAACTATAGATATCCATCAACAACTGCCACCTACGCTGGCTCGTTACTGAAGCTCAGATGGCCAGAATGATAAGAATAAGCAACAAGGAACTCTGGCTGGCTGGCTGGCTGGCTGGCTGGCTGGCTGGCTGGCTGGCTGGCTGGCTGGCGCTGGCTGGCTGGCTGGGCTGGTGCTGCTGGCTGGCTGGTGGCTGGTGGTGGCTGCTGGCTGCTGGCTGGTGGCTGGCTGGCTGGCTGGCTGGCTGGCTGGCTGGCTGGCAACGAACCAACCAACCAGGAACCTATCGCTCAACAAATATGAAGCAGAAGGAAGTGGAGATGCATCGGATTGGGCATACACTGAGAAGACCATTCGGGGATATCGCGCGACAGGCCAGGCACTCGAGTGGAACACAGATGGGAAACGGCGAGTTGGGCGTCCCAGTTGAGGGTGACATGGAGGAGATTGTGTGAGGAAGAAATGAGAGCTTCTGGGCAGTGGTCGATCCAGGCTGAAACGATTGCCGAGAACAGAGTAGAATGGAGATATGCTACTGAAGGTGTATGTTCCACTAGGAAACCAAGGGACAAATAATAATAATCATAATAATGCAATGTGCTAATTTCTAATGAACAGATTAAAAGTATGCTGTGATACGAAATTAAACCTCGATACAGATACAACTGTTACGGTTATCTATAAAGTTTTGATAAATGTAACTTAGCTAGGCAGTAAAGAGTTTTGTAGCCGGCTGTGAGACACAACCAAAGTATGAAGTTTTATGTGTTTAACCGGTTCTAAAAGCTAAAGGAGAGAGTGAATCCAGAGACAATTACATGCAAGTTGAGTGTTTGAGCCAATCAGCTGTTGATCAGGTGATCACCTTCCAGTAATTAGATGCTGAGTTAAATAAAAAGACTAATTTACTGGATAATGTTCCGATTATAAAATATTTCTTATAGTCACATCATTATGAGCTATAAATTGTACTCAGACTGATATCCCATAGTCAATACTGTGGCAATCAGTGTTGTGTGGTTCATTGGCTTTAAAAATCAACTTTTAAGCAATGAGACCCTAGTTCAAACCCTGTACCGCCTACTTTGGCCCGCGTAACCGGATACTATCATAAGCCTTCACACGAGTAGTATGACTTAAAGACTATTACTGTCCAGTGCTCCTAGATTTTCAATGGTTCCCCAACTTATATCAGTCCGTGATGAGTACTACCTCTAAATTAAAATTCCCATTCATCCAATCGGTCGAAAGAGAAGCAGATGCCAACTGAAGACCTTAAATGATAGTCGCTCTATATTATGAATTGACAGAAGTTGGAAACCGTGAGCTGTTGAACCCCGACCTAGTGGCTGAATGGTAAACGCGTTCGCCATAAAACCTGAAGGTCACGGGTTCGGCCCCTGGCCGGGTCGTGGATATGTGCTGCTGAGAAGTCGTATACTGGGACGGGACAGTTGTTCAGTTCTCCCAAGTTTCCAATGGTTCCCCAAGTGGTGACAGTTCATGATGAATACTACCTCTAACTAGAAAGTCCCCATTCATCTCAAAAATACACTACTACGCAAACTAGTGTACCCTTTGAGTCATACCATTACCGTGGATTCTGCCACAGTACACAACAACCAAAAACATGGAGGAGGAGGAACATAAGAGGATACAGACGGTCCGTTTGGTATTTGCTAATTTATGTCATCTCTCGCGTCCACTAGAGAGATAACCGACTACCTATCAAACGATAAGCATTCTGACTTGCAGTCCTTTCTGCAGTGTTATACAACTGTGACATCCGTTGAAAGTAGAAGACATGAAGCGGTTACAGTTCACTGATCACAGGTGTATGCCTAACATTGCTCGCGTTTAGTGGAATCGTTGTGTGAACAATGCTGAATTAAGGCGAATGGTACTAGTCAAGGCAGGTAAGTCATTCGATGAAGTTGTGAACCTTCAGCGACTGTGGTAGCTTGGACATAAGTTATGCATGCCAAGTCACATCAAACCTCGATGTGCAATGCTAGGAGACGTTGGATTGACTTAGGAAATGGCTCAAAGAATATAGAAAGTAATCGCAGAGGATTCTTGGTGACCCTGGCGTAAATCGGCCACAACGGCCCAGACGTATTCACTCCTTGACGTCTTCTAAAGATATAAACATATTCATTAACCTCCCTCTATCCATCCAAATCAACATAACATCAGGCATTACTGAGTAACGGTCACATTCGCCACACCTCATATCACTACATCAAGTAAAACGGCAGTGAGGCGCAAGATGAAGATAAGAAAATGCAGTCAAAATAAATATAAACTACGAAAACAGAGAAAGGAAGAATGACAAAATGGTGAGATTCGGTATAGCGTCGTTAAGATGACCATAATGTGTGCATACATCTCAGACACTCACATCGCTTCCAAGCCATATCACCTACAGTCAGTCTCCAACCAATCCTTCCTCTTGTCCCACCGACCCCAAACACGCAGTCTGCATCGCCTCACATGCCTCAAACCAACAGTCAAATACTTCACACATTCATGCCACGCTTCAGTCTGGTCACCCCCCTTCCCACCTTTTTCCAGCCTCGACCTACTTCAGTCAACATTGTGTGACGAGGCAATCGGTGACTAGGCATATATAACACGTGTCCCAACCAGCCATCTCACTCGATCAGGGTTCACACACTCGCCGACTAATTTACCTCTTCTCCCTAAGGCTCTACATCTGAGCCTGACTTCTGCGTTACTCACGTGGTGACACCACGGAATACGACGGCCTATACTATGAAGTCAGAGGTGGTCAAACACTTGAAGCCAGCCTTCTCTTATTATCCACCTTCAATGGTCATGTTTCACAGCCATACAGTAGAACAGATCAGACTACTGTGCAGTACACGCGACCCTTAGTAGACAAACGGATATCACGGCGGCGCCACAGTCCACTAAGACTCCTCAACCATAGTCTAAATCTCCTCAAAGTACTGAGAAAAGTCAGGGACTTCATCGATTGTTGCCACGTCTTAGTTTTTCCACCCTGAAACCGCTCCCAACATTTTCCAACCACTCCTAGCATAGCATGTAGATGTAGGCAGTGGCTGAGTATGCACAGTACATGTGTCCAAGCCATCTGAGTTGTGGAAAGTCCACAACCTCATCAATAGACTTACATTCCTTGTTTAGCACCCTTCACATGACTTCAACACTGCACAGATGGTCATTCAACCAAACCCCAGTAATGTTACGAAGATACCTGTCATCAAAACCATGTAACCGCTTCTTGTCTTCTACTATTAACGGCCATGCTTCACAGCCGTGTAACAGGACAGGACAAACTACAGCGCAGTATACTCCTCGTTTCATAGATGGTTGGATGTCTCGTCATTCGGTGCCACAAATGATGGGAGTTGGCAAGTGCCGAATGGGCCTTCTGTATCGGAGTTGAGACCTCCGTCAGCGACCAGACCGTTAAAGCTACTAAAACTCTCTAAGTGAACTGATTAACACATTTCACGAATTCACTGTCTATCACTAAACTGACTTGGAGTAGTAGTAGACCAATCTTGGAGCATCATCTTACATTTCAAAGGTGCCGGTGAAACGCATGCCACCTGAGCATACTCAGATTTCTGCTCAACGAGTTCAGAAGACCCTTAATTTCGTCAGCGTCTTAACCTAGTAGAACAATGCCGTCTCCGAACCTCAAGTCAACCAGAGGACCTCCAGAAAAAGGTCAATCCGTGAGAAGTCGTATGTTGCGAAGGTTGTGTCCTTTAGCACATATACGACCAAAGTAAAAGAAACGGTGAGAGTGGGCATCCCTTCCGGACACCACTAGTTGTCGTCAATTCACATGACAACTCTCCAAAAGTCATACACACGGCTTCATGACTTCGAGCAGATAACTTTGATTAGCTCTATATACTTGCTCGGTACTCCTTTCACAGGTAGACACTACCACAACACCCCACGGTCGATAGAGTCAAATGCCGCCTTCAGATCAATAAATGTGGCAAGTGTCCGCCACTGGTAAGTATTGCCTGTTACAGGACCTGTCGGATGGTGAAAATCTGATCAATGCACACTTGTGTAGGTCTGAAACCTGCCTGGTTTTCTCAAGTTCGCTATCGTCGAGCTTCAGTTATCCGTCAGACAATTTATGACATGTTTTTTTACATAATCATCACATTCCAAAGGTTGTAAAGCAGCTGAGTAAGAAAATCCAAGAAATACATACACGCCGTTTTCTTGATACTTAAAATTTCCAGTTGCATAATAGGTCGGATTGCTTGACACCTGCTGATGGACAACGACCTAGAGTTTAAAGCGATTGGTACGAGGTTGGAGTCTCAGTGGGAACAACACTAATTACTGTAGTGTAAGTACGTCCAGCTGAAGATTCCTGTGTCGGACAAAAAGAGAGTTTTGGATTTTACTGCTAGAAATAAAACAGAGTACAATACATGTATACTTATTCTGCCACTGTTCTTCATGGTTCAACTACACAACATTTGAGAAAAACAAAGAGATTTTAGTCCTATTTCAGACCCATTAGTCATCTGGATATTCCCGTTTTCTAAGGAGTGCGACTGTTCCGATTAGGACTCGAACTCAAAAAAAAAGCATTATTTACTGGCCCATTGAGTCACAATAGTCACTACCAGCCACTATTCATTCATCGATAATATCAAAATTGATTATGTATAGAGGGATTCCAATTGCGGCCAATATCCCAATAGAGATAAATCAACTCGGTCAAATCAACAATAGAGATCTACAAAGTATAGAAAGGAACAAACCTGAGAACTTCCACCTTTTGAACGAATATTGATGATTAGACAGGATGATGATGATGATGATGACGACGATACATTATTGGACAAGTAGTGTTGTAAACCTCGTAATGAATTCAACCGACAGGATGGATACTAAGCAAAGAGTAAATACATGCGTAGGATATGAATAATAGATAGGGAGTTTTAATTTCAGTAGTTTATGCAAATAAATATCAGCAGCCTCCTCTAGTGAATTTAATGAAAATGTACAACAATTTTATACTACTCACAAGTAGTACAAGCAAACATACTAAAATATTTACGAAGTGAAAAGAGCAAAAATGCTTATCACCGAAGAAATTTATTTTTATTTTCAACGACTTTGTTATCAATTTGTACAGTCATATTTATAACTGGTTAAATGTTAGATACATGACTGTGAACAAGACATATTTTATTTATACAATCCATTCGATTTAAAACAAGGATATCTGATCTTTGGTTAGGAGGTATGTCTTCGCCATACAACAGTTTGTCCAGTTGAGCTACGTTGTTCATACAGTGTTTTGATGGTAACAGTGTAGTACTATGAATTTGAATTGTTCAAAGCTTTCTGTGGAAATCAGTAGTTAACCTTGAGTCTGATTGATAGGGTTTTCGAATTGCAGAACATTATGCTGGAGTAATTAGAATGACAATGAATAACAACAACAAGCATCATCAACGAGAGAAATCTAAACGAAGTTGTCTCTTTCACCTATCTACATACCTAGAAAGCATGGTCTCAACTACAGGTAGCGGAACAGGCACCGATGAGGATCTCAAAGCCAGCCAGGATCGGAAAGACAGCAGGACAGGTCTTCCTGAATTAATCTGAAATAATCAGTGTGGAGATCTAATGCACTCCACCTCACTCCACTCAGCATAAAGCGTGAACAATATCCGGATTTCCAATACTAATGTCACTCAGTCAAAAGCATTTTCAACAAACTGCAGACATACATCACATCAACAGCTGCCGCCTACGCTCACTCACTCCATCCTGACACTGAGGATAAGATCAGATCAGATGGCCAGAATAATAGGAATAAGCAGCAAGGAACTGTGGGTGGCTGGCAACGAACCAGCCAACCAGGAGCCTATCGCCCAACAAATATGCAGAAGAAGAAAGTGGAGATGGCCTGGACCGGGCATACACTGAGGAGACAGTTTGTGGGCATCACGCGTCAGGCCAGGCTAGTGCCGTCCAGTGGGCCCCCTATGGGAAATGACGAGTTGGGCGTCCCATTTGAGGGTGATATGGAGATGGTGTGAGGAAGAAATCAAAGGTTGCGGTTCAAAGATTGGAGAGAAGAGATTGAAATGGCGACGTGCTACTGAAGCTCTTTGTTCCACTAGAAACCCAAGGGATAAATAATAATAATAACGAAATTTAGCATAAGAAAACATTGTGATAATTGTTTGAACAAATTTTTGTCGGCACTTTACTAAATTACTGACCAGATTTTCTGTCTAAATTAGTTGTTATGATGCGGAGTTGTGACAATGAACGGTAATACTTAAAGATAGGTAGTTGAGGGTTGAAACAATGAAACCTGAGTGATTCGCAAGAGAAATCAAAAAACTGGAAACCAGATGAATTTATAGTATTTCGGACTGAAAACGTTTATGAGTGAAAACTGACCCTATTTGTAGAGTTTATAGTAACCTTGAAGGACAAGGAATAATGAGTACATTTAAAGAGGCAGGAGCCAACTAGAACAATAGAGGGTCATACGAAATGTGACTCATATGCGGGAAGTGAGCGCGAATAAACGAGTTCAAATATATACAAAACCGTAAGTATGGAATATAACAGGAGTAACCAGTGAACTCCATCAATCCAATTTGGAACCAAGAAACTTCAAGATTAAAACGATGGTCACAAGCTGGGTTGCATAGCTCAGTAGGTAGAGCACTGGGCCGATAACCCGGAAGTTGGTGGTTAGAATCTTGCCGCCCCTGTGGCCCAAACTTTCATATCACCTCCAGTCAACACCTAGTATCATTTTCGATTATAGAAGGCCAGTATGACAATTTACTTGGCTATGGCTAGCAGAAGAATACCGGATACGTGTTCCGTCCAATTTAGGACTCGTCAATCGGATGTACCTAGCACTATCAGCATAAGATCAGGCACTACTGCGTAGCGGTCCCACTTGCCACACCTCATATCACTACATCAAGTAAAAAAGATGAAGATAATTCAGTCAAAAAATATAAAGGACGAGAAGAGAGGAAGGAAGAATGACAAAATGGTGAGATTCGGTATAGCGTCGTTAAGATGACCATAATGTGTGCATACATCTCAGACAATCACATCGCTTCCAAGCCATATCACCTACAGTCAGTCTCCAACCAATCCTTCCTCTTGTCCCACCGACCACAACCACGCAGTCTGCATCGCCCCACATGACTCAAACCAACAGTCAAATACTTCACACATTCATGCCTTGTTCTAGCCTGGTCACCCCCTTCCCACCTTTTTCCAGCCTCGACCAACTTCAGTCAACATTGTGTGATGGGGCAATCAGTGACAAGGCATACATAGTATATTTCCCAACCATCTCAATCGATCAAGGTTCATAACCTCGTCAACTGATTTACCTCTACTCCATAAAACTCTACACCTGACTTCTGCATTACTCATGTGGTGACACCACGGAATACGGCCTATACTATGAAGTCAGAGGTGGTCAAACACCTGAAGTCAGCCTTCTCATGTATTCCACTTTCAATGACCATGTTTCACAGCCATACAGTAGAACAGATCAAACTACTGTGCAGTACACGCGACCCTTAGTAGACAATCAGATATCATGGCGGCGCCATAGGTGGTGTAAGTTGACAAAAGCCAATCGAGCTTTTTGTATCCATGCAGAGATTTCATTGGCAACTAACCCACCGGGGCTGATTCTACTTCCCAGGTAAGTGAAGTGGTCAACACACTCAACCACTACACTCTCTATTGTTAGCCGTGGCACCGCTGAAGACCAGTCCTGGGACAAAATTTGCATTTAGGTGGTGAAAACGGCATCCCAAACATTCTCAAATTGGCATTCAAAGTGTTTCGAAGACTCTGCATCTTGTCAGCGTCTTCACTTAACAGGACTATGTCGTCTGCATATTCTAGGTCCAACGAAAATTCTCCTGTGATTAGGTCAACATCTGCGTACCTGCATCCTAGTGAGCGATGTTGTCCCCACTCAGACTCGAACCTGGTGCCAATCGCTTCAAACGCCAAGCCGTTAGCCATAGAGATTCTTCTGCTAGCCACAACCAAGTTAATTACCATAATAAATATTCAGGCAATATCGAGGCATCAACATAGGAGGCCATATCCCAATAGAGGTCGAACAATTTGATCCAGTAAAATAACGGAGAATTACAAGTGTATCAAGAAATAATGAAGTAGGCTGTGCTTACAGTTTCACCTTAGACAGTTGCATGTTCTGGTGCTTTTTTAAGCAAACATTTTGATGGTTGTTTGATTGAGCACTAACTTTAATAAGACTTTTCACGTAGTATGTATGTACGCCTAGAACATAATTAGACATTCATCAAGAATATAAACGAAATATATGGATTAGAGGAAATGAATAATATAAGGTTGATATTCACATCATGGTCTAACATCATCTGGAGAAACATTAAAGACTTGGGGGCACTGGGCAGCTGTTTCGTTTCAGTATGGGATTCCTCGGCGGCGCACATTCATGACTCTTCCCCTTCCCCCCCCCCCCCCAGGGATCAAAGCTAGAACCCTCGGGTTTCGCGAAAGGCAAGTCACCACTGAGTCGGGATCAAATGCTTCACAGCCTCCTACTTCTATTAATTCACGATGTGACGAAACTATCATCCAAGGTCACCAATGGACATCTAGTTCACTTCCAACTTGGTTTTCCACCCCAGTGACGACTTCTTCTGAGAGCTTCTAGAAGTCATTAATGGATACTAGACAGTCATTTAGTCGGTGGTTTTCATGAAGATTTTATTCATTTCATCACGGACTGGCATCAGTTGGAGAACCGTTGAAACCTAGGAGCACTGGACAGCTATTTCGTCGTAATATGGGACTCCTCAGCGGCAAGAGTGGGAGTTATTATTAGTATTCACTAGACAGCTTACTACAGACTGAACCATCAAACAATATTTCGCTACTTCGGCATGTAACCTTAGAGTGAAATCAGCACTACATCCGCTTTCAAATACAATGATATGAAAACCGAATATTCACCCTACGCATTTCTGTACAAAGTAAACCTGTGGCGTATTACCAATGATCAACAAGCCACTTTCATTCAACATAGAACTTATAAGCAATACCGAATAATTACCAGATATCATAGTGTTCCTTAACAGAACAGCAGAATAAGTTAAATAGACAAAAGGACTACCATAACTAACTGAGTATCGGTTGTAATCATCACACTATGTTAGCATATGCATATTAAAGGGAAAACAGAAAGATGAAGGACAGAACAATGAGATTAGCGATTTCGGGAACCGTTAAAAATTGCACGACAAAATGAAGTGCATAATAATACAATTTTAAACAGACTTCACGATATTGCAATCAGTCATCCTCCTACACAGTAAAGATCAACAATCACAAACTTCGTGAATAAACGCACCACGTTTACGTAGAGCTACTTACAGCTTTCGTTCAAAGTGGTCCAACTTCAGCTAAAATAGTATATTGAATAGATAGTGGTTCGGCAATTAAATCACACTAACTGTTAGTGTTTGGTCAAAAGGCTAACTAGTCACAGAAGAATTGCATCGCCCCACATGCCTCAAACCAACAGTCAAATACTTCACACATTCATGCCACGCTTCAGTCTGGTCACCCCCCTTCCCACCTTTTTCCAGCCTCGACCTACTTCAGTCAACATTGTGTGACGAGGCAATCGGTGACTAGGCATATATAACACGTGTCCCAACCAGCCATCTCACTCGATCAGGGTTCACACACTCGCCGACTAATTTACCTCTTCTCCCTAAGGCTCTACATCTGAGCCTGACTTCTGCGTTACTCACGTGGTGACACCACGGAATACGACGGCCTATACTATGAAGTCAGAGGTGGTCAAACACTTGAAGCCAGCCTTCTCTTATTATCCACCTTCAATGGTCATGTTTCACAGCCATACAGTAGAACAGATCAAACTACTGTGCAGTACACGCGACCTTTAATAGACAAACGGATATCATGGCGGCGCCATAGGTGGTGTAAGTTGACAAAAGCCAATCGAGCTTTTTGTATCCATGCAGAGATTTCATTGGCAACTGAGCCATCAGGGTTGATCCTACTTTCCAGATAAGTGAAGTGGTCAACACACTCAACCACTACACTCTCTATTGTTAGCCGTGGCACCGTTGAATACTAATCCTAGAGCAGCAATTTGCATTTGGGTGATGAGAAAAGCATCTCAAACATTCTCAAGTTGCTACCAAGGTGTTTAGAAGACTCTGCATTTTGTCAGCGTCTTTACCTAACAGAACAATGTTATTTGCATACTGAACAACATTATACTGAAAGTTAAAAGAGTAATTGGACAAAGAATATCTATACACAACATCACTATTGAATTGTTTCGTATACCAAATAAGTATCTTGATATAAGTATGTTGAATGCACAACTATATGAAGATGCCTCATGCCAAGTGAAGATAGGAGTAAGACAAGGTTGCCGCCTACTATCATCCATGATCTACCTGATTCTGGTCGACTGGACTGGATCATGCAACAAACTGTGAGGAGCGAGAAGATGGGGATACGCTAGCTGGACCGGGGAAAAGATCCTAGAAGATTTGGATTTCGCCAATGATGACTTGTGTCTAGTGTCACACAAACTTGAAGATCTACAGGCAAAAACTAACAAGCTGATAGAAGAGGCGGGTCAGCGAAGACGGGACTTCAAGTGAACATAGAGAAGACAGAGGTGATGATGATACCCAACTAACGCCACCACCAACGAGAGAAACTTAAAGGAAGTAGCCTCTTTCACCTATCTAGGCAGGCAGCGGCACAGACGAGGACGTCGAAGCCACGATCGGAAAGACAGCAAGACAGGCGTTCACTAACCTGAAACGAGTGTGGAAATCTTCTGCACTCACCATAAAGAAGAAGACCTTGATTTTCAACACCAACATTAAGTCAGTGCTTCTGTATGGTTCAGAAACTTGGCGCGTCAAGAAAGGGATTTGCAACAAACTACAGATATTCATCAACAACTACCTACGCTGGCTCGTTACTGAAGCTCGGATGGCCAGAAAGAATAAGTAACAAGGAACTCTGGCTAGGCGACAAACCAACCAAGAGCATATCACACAACAAACATCCTGTAGAAAAAAAATGGAGATGGATTTAGCATACACCGGGGAAACCATTCGGGGACATCAAACACCAGGCCAGGCATTCGAGTAGAAGCCAGATGGAAAACGATGAGTTGGGCGTCCCAATTGAGGGTGACATGGAGGAGATTATGTGAGGAAGAAGTGAGAACTTCTGAGCTGTCGTGGAGCCGAGTTGAAAAGATTTCAGAGAACAGAGTGCACTGGAGATGTGTTCCATTAGGAACCCAGGGGATAAATAATAAATAATAATTATGTTGAATGTATTGTGTTCACGTAATGAATATAAATCCATCATTGGAATAATCACTACAAAAACGCAAATAATAACATGAAAAAATAGTAAAACTTGATAAATTCCAGTGTAAACGAACTGCATAATAACGAAATACTGGTATAATAAAGCATAAAATAAGCATATAAAATAAAGGTATCTTTAAAGGCGTAAAAATACCCAAATTATCAGGCATTCTTATACTATAGACAAAATTCATTGTACTCATCCAAGTAGAAAGTTGTGGCGGTGGCCATAACCATAATCCACGTCTATTTCCATCACGTATAATATGACTTATAAATGATATAAATACTAACCAGAATGTAGTAAAACATTTCTGTAACATTATCCAATTAGAACAATATGATAGAAACGGTGAGTAAACAATAAGAATTATGTAGATAAATAGGTAGATACCAGCCCAATGTAAAAATGGTCTACCAGGGAGTTGACGAGCCAACTGAAAAATATGTAAAACAAAAAAAAAAAAAATCAGAATATTATGTTCTATAAATTAGAAATAATGCAAGACAATAGGTGTTACTTTCATCGCTACCTAACCCTGGAATAATGGAAGTAAGTACAATCATGTGTGTAGTGGATGTGAATTAGACAGCTAAATGGAATGAAAGTGAGAACCTGGCACACAAGTGCATCGATTCAAGTTGCCATACTTCAAAATAGTACACAAAGAACAGGTAGATAGCAAAAAGACTGATATCATCTGGGCTATTGTGACCGATGTTCACTCATGTTAACAACAGTTCTCAACAACTGATTTCTATTATCTTAGGGAACCAGATAGGTAGTCTACATCTCTGAATACGACTTCATGGATCAATGCCATGTCTTCGTTTGAACACCCTGGAACCCCTATCAACGTTATCCGAATTCCCCTGACATGCCAAATCAAGATATGCAATGGCTCACGATGCACAACAAATGTCGAAGCCACTCCAGCCGATAAAGATTCACAACCTCATCATTTGATTTGCCTGTATTGTACAATTGAGTCCACTGGGTCGAAATATAATCGTCTATATTTCCCACTTCTATTACTTCATGATATACAGCGACCTCCACTGAATGCTCACTGGTAATGTGCACGCCATGGAACCTGAAGGCTCCCAGTTCGATTCCTCGCGGGGTGCACACAGCCGACGAGTCTCATAATAAGACGAAACAGCTGTTCAATGCTTTCAGGTTTCTAATGTTTCTTCAACTTATGTTAGCTCGTGATTAATATCAACCTGGGATCAATAAATAAATTGGCACAAACATCCATATCGAATATTAGTCCATTCACATGATATCACTTCGCAGAGTGATATGTCCTCACGACTTAATACTGAGTACTAATCAAATACACCGATGAACTCCTTGTATCACGAATTGTATTGCTTAGCTAAATAAAACTGGTGCTCATACACAAGATGGAGAGAAATCAAAATCATCGGCATGGAGATCAGACAACTACGAATGTACAACTAACTGAGATTATAGTAAACATGGATAGTGGCTAGCAGTAGAATCCATCTTTACTATGACTAGAACACAGGTAATATCGAGGCATCCGCACAGGATCCCATATGCCAACAGAGACCGATCAATTCACTCCAATCAACGACGATATAATACTACCAATAACACTAACTTACTAAGAGTTTGAGTGAGTGAAGCCTCAAAATCAGCTAATGGCTTCTCACCAATTTAACAAGGTTCACCCTTCACTCAGTTTTACTTGTCAGGAAGAAAATCACACTTAACTACACTTCTTCAATGTCTTCGGAAGCAGAAGACAACATGATTCACCAACCACATGTGTTTACAGGATGACTACATCTATAAGTCAGTAAACACATTTCCTTAATCACTCATCCATTCAGTACAAAGCAAACCTGGTTAAATGCCTCACTAACACAGAGCGAAAAGAATATGTTCGAATGATATAGTACAGAAGGAGTTGAAATATATTCGTAATTCTCATTGGTGGAAATCGGCTACTCTAACATTTTCATAAAAAGATAAATGGGCATGGACAAAGTGAGGGAAACAAACCTGGAGATGTAGCCGGAGAAGTATTTTTTCACCTGAGACTCTCTAGAGTCATTAGCATGACTTTCTACGACACACAACTCTGTCCGTCATTTTCCAGTCAACTAATTGTTGTCGCTCAGATAAGAGATAAGGTATCTAGTTTTGCCATTTCTATGTGTATTTACAAGTTGACCTGCTCCTGTATAGGGTGTACCTATTAGACAACTTAACAGATGTGCCACTGGGCATCTACCTTCATGGTTTGGAAAGGGATAGATAAAATCAACTAGAAGTTCGGTTTTATCTCACCTCGTTGGTAGATAAGGACAATGCTTTCACGATTTTACTCACCATATACCACCTCTCATTTTTTGAAGTGTATTTGAAGTCATCTTTTACACCACACAACAGAAGTTAATAACCCTAATCTTTGTAGGCAGAAGAAGTTTGCACTTTCCATCAATATATGTAAGGCTGGTTGAATGTCTATCGTATTATAATCATCATTTGTATAAAAGAGTGTAGGCATTTTTCGGGATAACAGCAGAACATGCTTGATAAAGAATTAAAGTGAATGAACTGATGAAAATCACAATGATGTGTGATTTAATGATCTGTTTAGCCTAGAGTGAGTAACCTTACAGCTAATCTATGAAAACTGGAAATAAAAGGAGATCAAATCAATATATATGACACGAAAGCAAGGTTATATAAAGGAAAAATAAGTGGTTTTCAAAGTAACCTTATTAATAGAATAAAACAAGTATTACCATAGAATGTTTAGTGTAAGAACGACTGACCCTGGTAATATTTATAGTATCCTATTACTAAGGTTTGTTTTAAAAGTCAATAATCATCATTGATTGATTACTACTGGGAAGATAAGCAACTTCATGTTGCCAGGTGGCTACTAAACTAGCAGACTAATCATCACGATACATTAAGAGGGGTGTTAGTTAGTTGGAGGCGGTGGACAAGAAATCTTGCTCAATTAAGACTTGATATTTGTTAACACTCACCAGCAAGGCATGTCTACAACACTAGCGAAACTAACTTTTTCTTCACATTTCAAAATGATCGATACAATTTGATCAGCATTTAGACTAGTCTAGGGTTATCTGCTGATTGCCTCCATCCTGTTAGATACCAACAAGTCGATATTAACTATTCTTCAGTTAACCAACAGAAATGTCAACTCAGAGGACAACTCAATCAGAATTAATGTGTGTTATATTCCTTATCTTGGTGATTGGTCATTACTACAGGTCTTCACTGATGAAAGAAATGCTCAACACTGGTCCCAACTATTATTATTCATCCATTGACTATGTTTCAGTTAACCTTACTACCACTAATGTCACATCAGCTGACCCGAAGAAAGAACGAAAGTAAACTATTAGCCCATACAATCCACAGTTAAAGTATATGTAGCGAAATGTACAGAAAGTGTACAAGGCTGTAAAAGTGTAATTCACCTAATCAGAACATTAATGAATGAGAGCAAACATGAAGATGTTAAGAATATTAGTGACTGGTGGTCACATTGTTTCTGGATGCGGACAAAATAAAGTTCAACGAATGTTTAGAACATCACACTCTTTGATACAAATGATGATTATCATTTGGTAGACATTGAAAAGTATAAACTCCTTCTAGATGTAAAGACTAGGATTATTAGCTCGAATTCTCACAGCTATTATGTGGTGTAAAGATGACTTCAAATACACTTCAAAAAATGAGAGGTGGTATATGGTGAGTAAAATCGTGAAAGCATTGTCCTTATCTACCAACGAGGTGAGATAAAACCGAACTTCTAGTTGATTTTATCTATCCCTTTCCAAACCATGAAGGTAGATGCCCAGTGGCACATCTGTTAAGTTGTCTAATAGGTACACCCTATACAGGAGCAGGTCAACTTGTAAATACACATAGAAATGGCAAAACTAGATACCTTATCTCTTATCTGAGCGACAACAATTAGTTGACTGGAAAATGACGGACAGAGTTGTGTGTCGTAGAAAGTCATGCTAATGACTCTTAGAGAGTCTCAGGTGAAAAAAATACTTCTCCGGCTACATCTCCAGGTTTGTTTCCCCTCACTTTGTCCATGCCCATTTATCTTTTTATGAAAATGTTAGAGTAGCCGATTTCCACCAATGAGAATTACGAATATATTTCAACTCCTTCTGTACTATATCATTCGAACATATTCTTTTCGCTCTGTGTTAGTGAGGCATTTAACCAGGTTTGCTTTGTACTGAATGGATGAGTGGTTAAGGAAAATAGATGTAGTCATCCTGTAAACACATGTGGTTGGTGAATCATGTTGTCTTCTGCTTCCGAAGACATTGAAGAAGTGTAGTTAAGTGTGATTTTCTTCCTGACAAGTAAAACTGAGTGAAGGGTGAACCTTGTTAAATTGGTGAGAAGCTATTAGCTGATTTTTATGCCTCATTGTGTGTATAAGTACCAGTTTTATTTAGCTAAGCAATACGATTCGTGATACAAGGAGTTTATTGATCTGTTTGCTGGGGGAGGGGGGGATAGTCATCATAATCGACTGTAACAAGTTAGCTAGTCGACAATTCCGTTGTCGTGAGCCTATATCACTCGGCTATGTTACATTATATCCTAATTTACAGGTCAATCGATCAATCACCATAGCTCCCATAACTCTTGTGGCCAGGTATGCCAGGTATGTAGCGTGATGAGTTGCATGTTTATGTCGTCATTCTGATTAGCATCGAAATCTATCCAGGTAGCTTGTGCACATTCGTGCAGTAAGCAATTAGCCATACCTATGCTGTAAGGGTTACTGATGCTACTACTTACCTGCCCAAACCTCGGTAGGTGGGGAGGTGTTCGAACCCGTGACCCACCCGTGATGGTCACCTCCCTAGGCCAATGAGCCACATCTACTGCGATTAGCATAAATCACCATTAGTCATTACTGTGTACAATCAACCACCCACCGGTGCTGTCACAGTAACAAGATACATTTAACATTTAGTGCATAATTATAACAATCGGTTAATCAGACTGAATAAGATGAAAGAAGATGGAACCCTGGGGTTTTGAGAAATTCTTTCTGAAAGATTAGTTGTAATCAGTTCCTCACTTCCAAGTTCGCTAATCAAGATATCTCGAACAATACACTTACCTAGTTCTCCTGGTTCTATGCATACTAGCCAGTCGAAAAGCAAAGCACACTGTGGTGGTCTTAGTTCTGGGTTAATGTGAAGTCAAGCAAAACTTCATTAGGCAATGCTTGTATTGTACCCAGCCAATGAAAATTATAAAACTACTAAAACTTTAGGGGTAAAGGTTACCTCCTTCATATTTTCACATCCTGAACCTCATAGCCTGTCTTTATCTGTCCTCTATGTGATAAGAATCTGGTTAAAAACCCTGTTGGCCATTTTGAACATACATAGATTGCTCGATCATATATGTTTAATTGTGTCACCAAGCTAACAGTCATCGCTGAGGAGGGTCCGTGGAAGACTGCTGCTCCTTTTGGAACACGTGTTTGGTTCGAGCGCGTATATGTCTGCATTTCAACAGGAGTAGAGAGACTTCAGCAACAAGAGTGCAGCTCGAGAGTGAGAGCACTAAGATCGCTTTCAGTGAGAAACTGGCTAGGCAGCTATCGGAGCAGAACACTATCACTCATACAGAGGAATCTCGGTGCTATTTCCAGTCTGCCGTAAAAACAGCGTTGAAGACCACAGCCGACTCCTAAACAGTGGTTGAAAACAGCCAATGTATATCAGCAGCTTCTTCTGAATTAATGGATGGACGTGAAAACGCATCCATGTATGCTCTGAGTAAAATGAGTAAACCCAAATCAAATGTAGACTGATAAAAAGTCTACGCAATGACCGCGAACAGTCATGGTTGGCGAAGGCTAATGAGATGAAAAAGGCAGCGGCAGTAGATTACAATAGACAGTTATTCAGATTTATTAAGAAAACTGGGATGAAAAGGTCAAGGGTTAGTGAGACTATAGTGGAGAAGGATGGCTCTGCGATTCACTCGCAGAAGAGACGACTGGAACGATGGGTGAAGCACTGTGAGGAAGAGTTCGACTGGCTTTCGGCTAATATTGCGTTGCCCGCTATACAGTCGGATGCTGAATGGAATATTGAGATAGGCTCCCCAACACCACCAGAAGTCGACAAAACAGTAGGCAACTTGAAACGAGGAGGGAAGCAGGACCAGATGGACTGTTTCCTGAGGTATATAAGGATGGTGGTAGCGTTTTGTTAGCCAAGTTAACCGAAGTGTAATTCCCTCTGACTGGTATCAGTCATTGATTATCCCAGTCTTCAAGAAAGGCGAGAAGTCCTCTCGTGATAACCACAGAGAAATCAGCCTGATAAACGGAGTGTCTAAGATTCTAGGTTCTACAGTCATTAGACGCCTAAGAAGACCAGGCAGGCTCCAGACCTAGCCGTGGGTGTATCGACCAAATATTCACATTCTGGAATACACACACTTACTGACGCCCAACAATAGTTGTATTTCTTGACATGAAGGCGGCATTCGACTCCATTGATCAAGAAGTCTTGTGACAATGTCTCTCACTGAAACGGGTACCGAGTAAGTACATCACCTTATTGAAGGCTCTTTACTCAAAAACCTGCGGGTGTGTTAGAGCCTATGGTGAGATGTCAGATTAGCTGTGTTCGTCGAGTGGTGTCCCGGGGAAAAATAGACAGTAAACGGGTTGAGTGCGTTGAACACGTCACTTATTTGGGAAATCGGATCAACCCTGGTGGCTCAGTGGTCGAATACACGGATACAAAAGGCTTGGTTGGCTTTCGCCAACTTACGACATCTGTAGTATCGCCATGATATCCGATCGTCTATTAAGGGTCGAGTGTACTGTGCTGCAGTCCCCTTTGTTCTACTGCATAGCTGTGAAACTCATGTGGTGTCACCACGTGAGTAACGCAGAAGTCAGACGTAGAGTTTTAGGCAGGAGAGGTGAGACAGTTGATACGATTGTGAACTTTCATTGACTGAGATGGGTGGCTGGGACATGTGTTACGTCTGCCTCGTTACACAATGTTCGGCGAAACAGGTTCAGGCTGGCATAGGCTTGAGGTGGCCAGACTAAAACGTGTCATAAATGCATGAAGTTGTTGACCGTTGGTTTCAGCCATGTAGGGTGATGCAGACTAGCCGATTGGGGTCCACAGGACAGGAGAAATCAGTGATCGGAGACTCTAGGTGCTATAACTCAGAACCGAAGTCAGTAGCGCAGATGTATACCACACTTCATCTTAATCTTATCATTTTCTCACTCCTCCTTTCTCCCTTTTACTTCTTTTCCTATCTTCCATGTTATTGCCTTGTTACTTCATGTGCTAGTATGAGGTGTAGCGACTTGGACCATTACACAGTAATGCCTGACTCCACATAAACAGACAAATAAATTAAGTGTATAAACTGAAATAAACTTTAATAAGACACACATACTTCAATGCTTGTACTTCTTGCAGCTATAAAATGATCTATATCCGGTAGAATTGCAGTAAATGCTGCCCATAAACAAGATTCCAATATCATTGTAATCCTTTGACAGTATGTAAACAGATTCAGTCGATTAGATATACTTTGTAAACAGCATATCCAAAAGATACAACCAGTTAACCCATGAGTAATAGTCTCCAGAAATAAGTGTATATGAGACGGTGAATTCACATGACTGCATAGTCTAAATCACATTAGATTAATATAAAATTAATTATAACAACAAGCGTTTACATTTCAAGTGACCACAGGGAAATAAAACCACCCAGTATTAACAGTAATTCACAGTTAACTGTTATTATCTAAAATGAAGTTATAAATAACTAAGTCGGTTAAAATATCATTTCACCTCAGTAAAATAACAAATTTTATAAAAGTAAGCAATTTATTCTTTTTATTTATATATACATACAAAAGTATTAGCATTACTGAGGTTATCCAGAGTTTCGTGAAGCCTCCCCATCATCACCATCACCGTCATCTCCTTGAAATCCAGCTAATTCTTGTTCAGCATCATCAAAAGCACGATTGGATGGATCCACCTCTTCATCATACTGTAGGCATTGATCAATTTGTATTAATAAATCAGTTATTGTATCTTCTTTATCTCGATTCAATGGAACAAAGTGAACTACACTATATCGTTCAATTAAATCAGCTAGCGCATGTGTCAGTTTATTGAATGGTATAGTTTCTTGACTATTCTGTTGATTGTCTACACCATCTTCACTATCGAATACTTGATCCAAATCAAAGAAATAATCCATATCAGGATTTAAATATCTAGCTATTACATACTTCTGTTTTTGTTCTGATAAAAGATCAAGTTTTGACATAACATTTATATGTGCAGTAGATAAAGAAACCATTGCTGATAGAGCGGATAGAACACCGGCGAGAAAATGTGATGAATCAACAAGGAATCTAGCATCTAATATGAAGATAGTGACGAAACGAAAATCCCACTTTCTTTGCATATATTCAATAATTCTTGGCATAATTGGTAAATGTGAGTATAATTCAATTTGTCCAGGACAATCGAATAAGATATAGTCACCGTCTAGATCACCTAAAGCTGTATCTAACCAGTCTAAATTTTGTTGAAGATATTCCAAGCAGAATACAAGTCCACCATTTGGACCTAAACGGATACTTTCATCTTCCATTACATCATCCAACTAGATAGATATCAGTGTCAGGTGAATGAATTATTAACTTACATGAATAAGATCTCTGATATCCGCTAATGGTGTATACTCAAAATATTCAGCTGCAGGATCTAAATTGACAACATCAACTTTTCGTCTCAATGTTTCACAATGTGCTTGCATTGTTGTACAATAAGTTGATTTACCACAACCAGCTGGTCCAATAACCAACTGAGCAAATCTAGGCATTGTCTTGAAGAAGTGATTTGTAAGAATTTAGAGTATGTTTTTAAGCAATTTAAGTTTTAGGACAATGATGAAATAGTAAAAATTGTTAAAATTTACAACAGCTTAATCGGATAAGATCTAAAAAAGAAGTAAAGAGATCGAGACAGCATATAAATTACATAGAATTAACGGTTCAGTATATAACTATAACACCTAAACATGATTGACAGTAAAATAGAAATCCACTCAGCTACCTTGTATACATTCGTGTGATAGATAATGAGACACATTTATTATGTGAAGGCTAATGATACTACCTGGTTGAATGTACAAACTTAATAGGTGGAGCGGGGTTCCGAACCCCATTGGTTGAAAGTCAATGCCCAAGGTCAAATAATCACAGCTCCACTGACAATAGAATAAAAAGTGAACATCCAACAACACAATTCAGAATTGGGTCTAGTAGGGCTTTCAAAGATTGTTTTCTACTTATTCGAGATAACTAAGAAGAAATGCGCTTAGGTTCACACAGTCAGCTTAAACTAAATATATAATTTTTAATGCATTCATTAACATGATCGATATTCAAACAGGTACTACTACTACTACTACTGTCTTCGATGATGGTTACTATTAGTATGATCTTCATACTTTCATCGTAGGGTTGATTTTGGTGACTGCACCAACCATACGCTTAAATGTAATGCTAACCAGGAGAAAATGGATGTAGGAGTAAAAATGCATGAAAAGAACGTTATTATCCACTCTCTGGCTCAAGGTCTAAAAGATGCATAAAAGACACTTTTTTGTTTGATTCGGCCCGTCTAGTTTCGATTTAATACTGCCAAATAGTAAGGTTATATATATATATATATATATATATATATATATATATATATATATATATATATATTACTTGAAGTTTGACGAGCGATAGACAGCTTCTAGTAAAAGTTGTAATTCGCATTTCGCTACCTGCGACGGACGGATAATGTTGGTAAATGTTACAAACACATTGAGTGTTTAAGTCTTTTCAAATCGTCATACACGCGACTAACAAATGAGAATCAATCAGATAGTAGACTTTCTTTACTACAAAAAACCACAAGTGGTCATTAAATTCATGAACACCTCAAGGATGAATCATACAGAATACCTACACAGATCACATGATGCCAACTTTTCGGGGAACACAATATGTATACAGAACATAGAGGTAGTTATCCACTAGGATTATTGAGTAAATACCTAAGATTCTACTTCCGAGATGTTCATCTTCATTCAGCAGTGTAATGGCTTGTTACTTATTTTGATAAGCAACACCAAATGGACATAATGAAGTCCCCATGGTAATCAACAGGTAAAAGACTTCATGTTTATTTCGAATTGCTGAAGCCGTTACTACTTGATGACTTCAATCGGAATGATGTTTCAAAGAAGAAATAGTTGGTAATTTATTATTGCCCTGGAAATTAGTGACTTACCACTCTCATTCTCTTCCTTCGAAAACAAATTTGATACCTTTATTTTATCTTCATCCCCTTCCATCAGTTATATTGACTATCGTTTCATCACTATCATATTTATGATGATGATTTATCTCACCTACATCATTTGCTTTCTCACTCATTCGTGAGCATTCTTTACCTTGCCTTAATTAACATGGATCTAGTTTGGTTGAATGTTATTGCCTAAATCTCCATTGTACTCTGAATCGTAATGTTATTATCTGATCTTCAAAACACTTACATATTTTAAAACGCTCCATATATGTATATAATATTCGCTATAGCCATTATTTACTGACTTACTCAGACTGTGTGCAACTGACGAAAATCAGACAATAATTACTTCTTCTTCTTGGTTCTTCTGGGCTATCACTGCCTATTCCATTCACTTAACTCTTTATTGCTCTCGAAGCTAGTATAAAGTCATCACATACTAGGACAAGGCTTCAAATATCGATTGAGTTTTCTATCAGTTGCGAACTATGATCACTACTGTCATCCCTGCAATGAGGTGGATGAGAAATCAGAGGTTCAAGCAATTTCCTATCAACAGTGACAAAGTCTGTCCTTGAATTTGAGCATTATTACAGCATGTGATTACATTAGGTAAATAGCTCAAGACTATTTCTGTTAACAGTAATACCATCTGAGTTTCCTAACAATTATGTTTCTAAATTTCGGTTTTGAAATCTGCTTGCTGGTATTAATTTTTAGGATATTCGGTTTTTTTTATTGTATATACAAATAAGGACGCTCCAACAATACTTTTTGCTTGTGTGAGACTTCATAAATGTTTATCAGTATTCTTTGTACCTCAAAACAGATTGTGTTTCCGGGTGTTACAAAGGATTCTCAATAAGGCTGGTATATAAACCAACAAACTCACCTAAAAACAAGTTTTGTAGACTGAAGGATCTTATTGATCCAATTAGGCAAAATAGTTTAGCTTACCTAATCCCTTGCAATGATCCCAAGTTCAAAGTAGACAACCACAGTTGATTAGAACAACAGCACTCAAATTTAAGTGAATCAAGATTAGCATATCCTAATAAGATAAGCAATTTAGATAAAAGATCGGTTATAGCTATGCATGGGATTGCACAAAACCGCACAATAGGGTGGGGGAGAGAGTGACAGTATTAAAACGTAAATTAGACTAAGAGGGAAAGAGATAGACAGACAGACAGACAGATAGACAGATGAAACCAATGCAGGGGCCTGCACACTAGAGCATCGCTACAAGTTGCCACGCATCACAGTAGTACACAAAAACAAGTGGATAGAAAAAGAGTGATATGAAAGTAGAATGAACAATCTGAAGATAACGGTTAGTGCAAATATTCAAGCTTCAGATACCAAGAAGTGAATACATCTGCGCCATTATAACCGATTTCCAGCCACTTCGCCAGGATTCTTCAATCACTGATTCCTATCCTTCGGGAGACCCCATATAGTCTACACCTTCTTACACTAGTCAGACCAATAGTCAGGACTTTATCGACTGCTGCCACGTCTTGTTTTGGTTGCTATGATCCCTCTTACAACCAAATCTAACTTCCACTAGCATTTCACCTGAAGGCAAGCGTTGGCTCGGCATGCGCAGTACATTCTAAATCCCCGTCACTGAAGGCTCAAAACCTTATCAACAGACTTCCCTTCCTTGCCCAGTACCCTTCACCGGACGTAAAACATAGGTCACAAAGCGATTCCACCAAACGTGAGCGATGTTACGAAAACACCTATGATCCAAAACTTGCAACCAATTTATCTCTTCTACTTTTAACGGCCGTCTCACAACCCCATAACAGGACAGGATGGACTTAAGCTCAGCATACTCATCCTCTGATAGATTGTCGGATATGTCACCAGTCGGTGTCACAGATGATGCAAGTCGGCAAATGTCATGTGAGCCTACAGTATCGTAGTTGAGACTTCGTCAGTAACCAGCCTGTTAGGGCTACTGCAACTCCCTAGGTAAGTTAACCAGTTGACACACTCCACCACCTCACTGCCTATCATTAAACTGACTGGAAGTAGTTGTAGACCAATCCCGGAGGATCATCTTACATTTGACAGCTGCTCTATAATAACGATTTATCGCAAATGCTAGCATCTTAGTTGTTCTCACTCAGCAACAATGTTAAAGTTTGGAGTTATTTGGAGCAATGCAGACAAAAATCGGTTGTAACTTGGCTTGGACGAACTAGTCCTTGGTTCTAAATGATAGTATCTAGAGATGAACTCAAGTAAAAGTGGAATAGTATACATAGGACACGGTAGCTGTAATCAGTATCCCACCGATGACATGCTACTCCTAGTTTGGAAGTCAAACAACGTAAGGGTGGTCATAACCCACGATCTGAAAACGTTTACATATTGGAGTGCTGCTGCAGTGTGAGGTTTCTATGTGATATGATTCCTAAACAGAATTCTAAAAAGCTTTGAGTGGGACATTTTTAAAATACTCATTTAAAGTACTGCATCCGACCAACCAACCCATACCTCAAAAACTAAGCTAATGTACTTAAGCATGTCCAAAGGTTGGGTGCCAAACTGATTGTCAGTGCTTCCAGCTCTACTTTAAGAGGAAGGTTTGTGTCGCCGGATCTCTTCCCGTTGCCCTATTGTAGGAAGAGGAGCTATCTCATACTGCGGTCCCATATTCTTTAAGACTTTAATACAGAGATATTGAACCTTTATCTCTTCACACTAACTGTCTCCAAAGCCACCATAAGAAAGTTGAAGAAGACAGTAGAATCAATAAACTTAAGTCTGAGTTTCTTCTATCAAGTAGTCAGTGATTAGAACTTGACTAGTCAAGCTATATCAGTTCCTTCAGTGAAATCATTAGAAGAGAAAACCGATCTCCACAAATATATCTACTAATAATATTGATATTGATGATAATAATAATAAAATTAGAATTTCAGTTCAAAAAAGTTGTATTGCAAACACTGTTTGGTCCGCATTATTTTTTGTGTTCCCGTTTCAGATGTCAGAAAAAGTCAGAAGGAAGCTACTCCCAATTCCATAGTTCAACATTAAAAAGATCCCAACTGCATAAAATAAGAATTGGCATACAAACAAAAGCGAAGCAGAACTTAGTACATAAGAGCAATGGTAAAAGTTACCATCCCTCATAGTAGCATGCAAAGTGGGTAAAAAAATCTGATATCAAAATAAACAAAGACGTAGTGGCCTTAGGGTCAGTGAAGAACGATTCAACTTTAGAAGACACCAACGAGTGGATGTGTTTGGATTATTGTAACAGAATTTCAGTTGTGTCATACTCTGGCAACACACTCTTTCGTCCTTACTGTGACCTCAGTTTCCTCCTTTTGATTAACTCGGTTTCTTACCATCTCCAACCTGCTTAGCTATTCCTGAAGTTTGCTGTCGCATAACACTAGTTCAATCAAAAGAATTGTGTCTGACTTCATAAGCTGGATACAGATAAATAGACTAAATGCCACCCTAAAAACTAATCAGGATTGCGTGTCGTGAAAAAGCTACGCTTTTCATCAAAATCAAGAAGCGAAACTACTTCTTTCCATTCATAACAGTGGAGACATTTAGAGTCACTCAACAAACGACGGTGGATGGAAAACTACGAAAGGCCTAGTTACTTACCGCGCCTAGATGTAACGCAGAGATTCGAACTTCAGACTTAAAAGTTCGTCAAAGCAAATGATCAAATGTTCATATGCAGCAGATCCAATATCCAGGATTCATCTACCCAGCTTGCGTAGACGATTCAACTTCTTTACGCTCGTTTACACATTTCACATAAGCATACGAGTTATTTCTTGGTTTTCTGCACATCAGACTGTACTTTCTGTAGAACCGGCGACAAGTCTCCAGGTGGTCAGAAATTGAGTCGGCCTTTTGCCTTCACCATTTTTTTTCACAACGGTAAGATAGCTAGTAAGGAAGGCGAGGTGGAACTTTACGTCTCCTCTTCCCTTGCAGCTCACTTTATACACATTCAAGAACTTAACTGTCTTGAGGAGTCCACCTGACCCTCCATTAGGCTGCCCGAGGCTTTTAAGTGCTCAGCCGAGGTGACTTATTGGGAGCCACGTGCTGACGCATAAAGTAGTGACCAGGCGTTTGGGGCAGTGAACTCAGTCATCAACTGGGGCACTTGTGCGCATTCTACTTCTAGATTTCAGCCTTCCAAGGGTTAAGGCTAAACTTAACAATGTTACGCTTAGCGGAGATGGTGATTCCTATGTAGAGCAGTTCTTCAACCAAATGTGAGACCGATGACACCATGGAATAAACCCAGTTCCCAGCCCACATAGACTAAATCTTTGCAAATGAGGAAGTCCCGAACGAAAGCCTAGCAATCCTTCCTCCTTCAGGCTGAAGTGACCACGTAGTTATTGGCTTTAGGTATGTGGCGTCACACACCTCCCCAAAATCAGTAGCCTGGGGCTCGACGACATCCGGCATTGACGCTGACCTTGATAGTCTAACTGGATTCGCTAAGCTGAAGGCACCGGGTCAAGCATCCTCGCCATTTGGCACGCTGTCGCACTACATTGCACTACTCGTATTCTACTCTCTAGCCAGTTAGTTGGAACGCATCGGTATCTTGGCACAACCACCCAAATATATTATTCCATCCGATCACACTACCGTGTTCTTTCTTGGTCTCATATTTGTGGGTATATAACAAGTCCGAATAATTAGTGATTAGTCTTTGCGTCTGTCAAGTTCGCACGAGGACAAATCCTGAAAGTATATCTACAAAACCAAACTAGCCCGAACTTATGACGACTGCCGCCTGAGCACTCCAGTCCTTCAGACGGGACTGAAACAGACGTATTTTTAAGCTACGCATGACAGGATGTGAACACATATGGACATAATCACTTATGCCATCTGGTAATTTGTTCCCCTTTTGTCTTAAATGTTCTAAAACACCAAAGGTAGCTCTACTTGCAAGCTGCTTAGATTAAAAGATGCTACCAGGTACTAGATCAAAAGAATGGTAATGAACACACTAACGGGCTTTTCAAACAAATAAGAAAAGCATGCACGACAGGACTGAAAGCCAACCGCAAACGGTGTCAATTTATAACTGCGATTATGTTCATTTCCAACCCGAGAAGTCCGTTCCACCTTGCCGAATAGTTCCCATACTCTAGAACGGGATTTAGGGAGGAGTGCTTCCGCACTACTAACCTTTTGATCGCAGAAAACGGACCGTAGACGCAGAATCGATATTGTTTGTCTAGACGTTTCTCAGGTCTTTGTTCATGTTAATCACGACCACCTAATAAGTTTAAATTAAACGGGATCTAACCGTGGCTGATTTACTAGTCATCCTCACGTCAACGTGACCCTCACTGGAAGTCCGAGTAGGTTTTTCTGTATTTGGAGAAACAGAATGTCCAAGTGGAGTTCCGCAGTGTTCGGTACGAAGGACTATTCCCTTTCTAACATACGTAAGCGACTTGCCTCAATAGGTTTCTTCTGACATCCTTACTCTTGACGATGATGTGGAACTACGGAAAGGAGTCAGAAAATATAGAGATTGTGTTTAACTACTGAAAGACTTGGCCCAACATCAAAACTTGCCAGCCAAAAATGGTCCTGCATTTGGCTCTGAAAAATGTAGGGGTGCAAATCTAGAACACGATGCCATATATAACTGCAGGCATCGCAGGCGGATAAGGATTAGGAGTTCAAGTTCCTCAATAACTAGATTCCTGTGCCAACCGTGACAGAAACTCGTTCCACGGAAACTTGGCATCGGTGACCCAAACGACTTTCCAGACAATGAGGTCGTAGTTATTTCACCTAGAGCTCAGGAATACAGTCTACCAGATCTAGGCGAGGGCTTAGCTCTCAAACCTGGGGATAGAGATTGATCACGCTCAATCTACTTCCTCGGGAATACTGATAACCGCTGACCACATCACGAAAACCCCTGAACACACCGTTCGCTATCTTCTGAACGTTAGTTGTAACACAAATATTACAGAACACACGGAACAAAAGCCTAGTATATAACGTGCAGGTTGTATCTGGACAAATCTTCTTGTGTTTGAATTCAGAAATTCCGATGTTTTGCGCGGAGGTCCAATCGTGGCTTCTGCAGTGAAACAATCAGAGGCGTTTACAGTGGGTCAGAAATCATGAAGTTCACCTCATTTTCCACTCATGACTGAATTATGACTGCTTCTCAGTAAGATTAATAGTCTCTTGCACAGAGGCGTATAGACATGATACATAATTGTGGGCCTGTATGCATCGCTTGTACCCCAGACAGTGGTTATTACGAAATAAATGGGGCCACATGTTTCTCAGCTCCCACTGCATGGAGAAAACGTAATTGTTACTGCTATGTGGCACAAAATGTATAAGATTTTTGTTGAAATAGGAAGACGGAGTGCACTGGCATGCATAAGACTAGTTTTTTTCTGCCTCCTTTTTGCTTCTTGAATGCCTCAGACTAAATAATGATAATAATAATAATGGACAACATGTACACTGATGACAGCACTCCATTTATTGTAAATGATGGTTTGAGAGATGATGCTACAAATTAGCGCGAATTGGGATAGAACAAAATGGGACATTACCGACAATTTACATGATATACGTTGATGCTTGCTTGGCTTCCTTTGCGTCTATCTACGAATCTTTGCTTGCCATGGAGCAACCAGCCACACTCCGTATCGTCGATCCCAACTGTAGGGATTGGTTAATATATATGGGGCCTCGGTAACAAGTCTTTCTTTATGCGGAGAAATCTTTTGTAGACCTTTTGTTCCCTTGAAAATATCTTGCGACCTTTTGAACCGAATGCAGTGCTATTATTGATTAATTCTTCAATCTCCGAATATCCGCTGATTTCTCCGGAACTTAATCTAGATGTCGTTTATGTCCTATTGGACTTGGTGACCAGCAGAGGAACCTAGGGCTCACGCTTCATCCCATCTAGGACTCTTCAGCTGGATGTAGCTGGATGTTCCCTTTGCCTATGTCCCTTTACCCTCACGCCCACCCGCCCGGATGTTTCCCCAAAACAAACTCAATCACAACTTGAGTGGATTATTTCATAGGCATAATTCTGCTGATTATTTGTCCTCACCGCCTCTTCGACCTTCACCAAACCAGAGAGTAGGTTACATATCATGCGGAACTAAGCCTTCAAGTAGTTTTGTTGAGAATTCTCCGAATTTTTTCCGGTGTCTCGTTGCGAAATGGAATTACTGAGGTATTGGCTGTTTCTTCGGAGGGCATTTAGGACCATTTCTCACTTCATTTTTCCAGGTCTTTCGGCACACTTATCGGGATAGAAAGTTGCTTTAGATGTAGGTCGAATGAACTTTAGCTCATTATTTTGGTCTTCTTCCAATGTCTCTAGGCGATCGGCTCTACAGTTGACAGTCCAAGCAACCACCATTTTGGTGTTTAATGTATGTATGGAATGAAAACCTAGATATCTATCTGAATGCGCTGGCCTTACGAATCTATTCAACTTTGTTTTGTTATTGTCCAGTTGTTTTCCGACCACGCAATCCAGAAAAGCCGATTAGATAGCATCGGACTCAGTCACCTTGAAGAGTGTGATATTTTTCGGCACGCCGTTTATGCCTACAAAGTTCGCCCACGTCATCGTACTTAACAATAACAACTGTACCACCCACCCATTTCAGCCATATTCTAGGGGCAATACAGCATTTCATCGTTGCACTATTTTCCGGGAAATGTATGAAAAGCTCGGCATTGCTGAAGCTTAGGTAGCTGGCCGCTACTCTTCGTTGCTGGCGTATTTGCCATATTTTTGGCTTCACTAGTGGTGTAATTGTGTGGCCACTTATCAGTAATAGCCCCGTATACCAGATGAAATATTTTGCTGCGGTGAACCAGTCTTCTCCCTTTCCACTCATTATCGGAAAGGAAAGACCATATCACCAATACACAGACATTTGTATTAGATAGGAAGGAAACGAAGTCGAACCGCAGAGAAACTCTTCTATCGCACCCGGCACTTCTGAACAGTAAATGAGAGCAACAGATGTCCGTAACCTTAGACAGTAACTGCAGACGACTTGTCCTAAAAAGGTTACAGACAGAAAGCATTTTCGATTTGAATATCTCGTTTTCGAAAACTTTGCTTAAATAGCAGATAGAAAAACCTCCTTTAACCTAAGATAGAAACCAGACTACATGAGAAGGTCAACAAAAACACCACAAAACCGACTTGAGGAAAGTTTAAATCCTCAGTTTCTGACAGAATTTGGCTATTTTGCGCTGAGATGTTATCAGAAGATGGTAGTTATCCCAGGGTAATCGTTGGCTGAATCACCCAAAGGAAGTTAAAACATTGCATTGCAGTACACAGGGTTAAGCCACCAGGACTGGCTAGATTCCTGCTTCTTAATTTCATCAAATTTATTGAATACTTCGCATCTTTAAGTTGTATCAGTTTCTCCGAGAGTCACTGAAGAGAAAGTCTGGCTCACTGGTTCAACAACTACTAGCTCAAATGGGAAGCCACTGGTCTCACTGTCAGTATTATTACCTTTTTAGCTGTTTCTGTACTTCATGATTTTATGTTTATCTCATAGATTCCCCCTAAACCCAACTTTTGACAGGCTTTCTGTTTAACTGATACGATAGTTTTATATCTACAGGCCCATATAAGGACAGAAGTTAGACGAGGTAAACCAGTCTTTTCAGCAGTTATGCGAACCATTCACTTATCCAGCACAAGACTACGAGAGCAAATCATTCACATGACCAACCGCTTCCTTCGGCAGGAACTTTCACATTCATCGAAGGAGCAGTCGAAAAACAAAGTTTCTAACATGCAAGTCGATTCCATTTGCCGAATTTTTGTGAAGACACATGCGGATGCACTTTAGAAATCACTTGCATACCGTGGTGCCTCCGAATTATTAAGCCAAACGGCGAAGGAGATCAAAGGCGACACAGATGAAAGAGGGGTCTCGAACCACAAACCAATTTCCATCTTTTACTAAGATCACTGATAACGCCGTAAAAGAACCACCATCTAGCAGCATGAGGTAATGCACAGTTATGTGATATCAAGCTGTTGATAGCACTGGCGGCTGAGCTCAGCCTACCGATAAAGAAACTTTTAGCACCTTGCACACAGACTTCCTGAAAGCCTTTGGTATGACGAACCATGGGCTTATTTTTTGGAATCTTTAGTATGTAGGCACAAAGGCACCCGAGAATGGCCATCGGATCATCACGAAAGGAGGCTGCTGCTCGTGACGGTTAGATCGCAATTATGTTACTGGTTCAGGACGACAACGATGTTTTCTTAAGGCTACGTCCTCATCTGCTAATTACAGAATTCCCCACTGACCTTCCATGTTCCTGGCTCCTTTTTGCTGCTAATGATAATAATAGTATTTGTTTCTGAATATACAGACACACGCCATTTTTATAGTTATGAATAAGTTTTTATGTAATTTGCGTGTTGCTGCGCCCTCTTTGAATACCGACGTGCTCTGTCTCGTCTGTGCTCCACTCGGAAATAACTATATATAAGCCTTCCCAGTTGGATATCTCCTCTACGAAAGTTACAGTTCCACTGGGAAAACGTTTTGCTACAGGATGTACAGCTCTCAGTCGGTCAATACTA